GCAAAGCAGGTTCATCTCTTCTTGATTCTCTCAATAGTTCTTTTCCACACAAGTCCCAAAAAATTAAGTATGAGCAAGGCATCATTGAAAATGTTTCCATGGCTAGCAGCCTGTCAGCTGTCACCATCCTTTTCCAAAACTCTTTAAGGGCTCACTGACCTCTGACCTGTGCGTTTGGCTGTGCATATAGCCGATCGGTGGGGCTAACAGACCCCACAGTGAGGGAAAGCAGAAAGCAGGTTTAAGGTAGATGGAAAAGTGAAAAGTGAGGAAGACAGTACAACAGAAAACATTTATAGCGTATGGTGAACATAGTGTGCTCTTAGAGGATATGGACTTTTCATTATTATGTTACCCTAATTATCGGAATTGAGCGATCTTTACTACGACTGTTATAGGCATCGATTTCAATAGCTTGTTTAGAGAGATGATGAAAAGGGCAGTGCATGGTACCAGAGTTCACTGTGAACATCGTCTCCATGGTGACAAGAGCAATTACTGCTCAACTGACCCACACCCTTCTTGTTAATTGCATCACTCATTACCTTTCCTTTAATCCCCCCTGTTCGATTTTGCCCCTTGAAGTAAATCATCATCCTCTCAAACATCACATGAGGAGGAGCTTCTGAATTCTGAAGCTGCTAGGAAAGATGTACAATATCCACCGCTTGTAATGATATTTAAACAATCAGTTTGTCTGGGAAGGACCATAACACAACCCTGCAAATCATTTTCCACTTAAGTCATTATGGAGGTATTCTGTTTTGCTTTCCTGGCTTCAGTCAGGTACACAGTACCACAGAATCTATGCACCTATGGGTGACAGCAAAGCTTTTACTATTATTCTCCAGAGACGAGGACTCCATTAACTCTCATCTTTTTTTTTTTTTTTAATTTTACAGGCACTTACCACGCAAAACAGTGCAAAATGCATTTCTTACTGAGGGATTAAGTGAAACACACGTAAGTTTTACATCCATTGCGCACACTCACTTAAAACTATCTAATTCCTCCTACAAACAGCTATTAATGGAGAGGTTTTACATGAGGAGGAGAAGTGTTAATTACTAAAACAGAATGAGTTACAGAACAACAAGCACAATACAATCTTCAGGGAATAAACATTTTGTGGCGTGTGAAACAGCTCAGTGTTTGTAATCAACGTAGGATTAGTTTACGCGTTATTGCTTGAATCTCTCGAATCGTCCCTTGAATCCAAGCAGCTACCACATACTGCGAACAAGCTCCAAATGTTTGTCATACAACCGTTTTGTGCACACATCTAATGACCAAACTGTAATCATTCCTTGCGCAGCTGTTCATGTCTTGATTGTTCTGAGCTGGATCTTGTTATAGATATCCGTGCTTCTCACTAAGCTACGAGTGGGTTGCGCTATGTCCTTGTACTCACCAGTAACTGCTTTGGTAGTGTTAGTTTGCAAGTGTCGGGGCAATTAAAACAAACATTGGAGACAGATCTCCTGTGGCTGCTTGCTCTGAGTGTACAGAGGTTCAGTTAGGTCAAAAACGTTGCTTTCAATAAGACACCTCTGTACTAGTGAGAGTTTATTAAAAAGCTTGAATACCTGCTGTACATAAAAGCTGAAAAACATGACAAGTGAGTGGCCAAAACGTCTGCATCTCAAAATAAACAGGTGGGTGTTTAATCTAAGCCTGACCTGACTGTACCAGGAGAAAACATTATGGTAAACAGAATGAGGCAGACTGACAAAAGTGTTTATTTTAAATTCTGTAGATTTATATAAAACAAATTTATACTATGATCACAAAAATAAATTTTTCCTTCATAATGTGACTTTTGAAATAAATACACAGTTATTTCTCCATGATCGGTCTTAAAAAAAAACACACATTACTGATTTGATGTCACAAGGTTAAAAGTGTCTGGTAAAATAACTGAAGTCCCTGAAAAGAGACAAGTAGAGTTCCTTTTTGTAGCAACTCCACAGCAACTCACATGTCCCTACGGTCAGTGCTCCTCCTCTCCGTGACAAACAGCCTGTGACAAGGGCGGGCGAGGGGAGAGTGCAAGGCGACCGCCCCTCAGGCGGTCAACCGCAGCCCCGCTGGAGCTGTCTGTGGTTGACAGATGCTGTGACAGGTCAAGATGGCTGCTGGGAAGTACCCAACTGATAGAGACACAGCAGGTTAAGCACCATGAGGACCAGCACCAACCCAGTGAGAACCTTCTGTGTCCACAGACACGTATTCAGCTTCTGCTCCAGCCGTGAGTTGCACACCATCATCCGCATGAGCTGGTGGGATAAAAACCCAATCACTGGCCTGGTTTCTCAATGTAACACCCTTATAATGAAAGTCACCGAAGCAAGTCAGGCTATTATAAATGTACAGTAAAATAAAAAAAATTGTTCAAGATTTTGGAAAATAGCAAGCTTGGACCTCAAAACATGTGCCTACCAGTACCTATAAAGATATATTATGATATTGTATCTTGTCTGTTTAATCTGTACATAAACAGAAGTGCTATACAAAACAGTGATAAACAACAGTCAAGTTACTTCCTCATGTCCTGTCGTTGCCACAGACGTGTCAGCCAACAAGCAGACACCACATAAAAGTGCTAAGTGCAGAAATGGTTACAGCAACGTCTCTTAACTGTTGTTTTTGGAGTACATTTCTTTTGTGTACAGTTTAAATAAAGAGATACTAAGTGCTAATTAGTGTTTTCAGTCTTTATTAAATTCCCTTCTCACCCCTACAGAGCAGCATATCTCTTCTACAACCTCAGGTCCTCTATCAGAGGCCTGGGAGTTTGAGGACACCTATGACTACTCTGAAGGAGTAACAAGCTTCAGCAGCTGAGATGGGAGAGACTCTGCATACAACAACAACTGTTGCCCGAGTTCTTCACCAGTCAAAGCTTTATGGGAGCGTGGCAAAGACAAAGCCACTGTTGAAGAAAACTCGTTAAGTCTCGACTAGAAGGCAAAGACAAAGCCACTGTTGAAGAAAGCTCGTTAATTCTCAACTAGAATTTGCCAAAAGGCAAGTGGGAGACTCCATTTGTCAAGTGGAAGAAAGTTCTTTGGTCTGATGAGACCAACATGGTGCTTTTTGGCCATTAGACAAGACGCTATGCTTGGTAGACACCAAACTGCACATCACCACAAACACACCGTCCCCACTGTGAAGCACGGTGGGG